GCGCCACTCACCACCCGTGTTTATAAGACGTAATATTCAATTGGAGGTAAAAGAGTTTATATTAAACAATTATTTGTTGCTAACAACATTATTTTTTTTTTCAGATACCTTGCTTTTTATCGTTCCGGCCACCAGATTCGTTGGTTTTCATAAAGTTTCATTTGGCAGTACAAAATGTTGACTCGAAATGCTGAACAAGTTTTGAGAATTTTCCTAATTTTAGCGAAAATGCGTAAATTAAAACTGCGATTAAAACAGAAGCGCCGATTTTGGGTTCGGAAATTGTACTTAGAGCGACACAAATATGGATTGTTTGAAAGTTCATTAAGAAACTTGGCTGCAGATGAGGAGCAGTTTAACAAGACATTAAGAATGCCCTTTTCGTTATTTAATGTGCTGCACGAATTTCTGGAGGCTTCGCTGACCAAATATTCAATCAGAACACCAATATCGAGCCGCTGCAGACTATTTATAACCCTGATGTAAGAGAAAATCGGTTTTACTTAATAGTATACGTATAATTTTCCATATATGTATCTGGTTTTATTTTTTTGTTGCAGATATTTGGCTCACGGTGGCACTCGGCAACTCCACACAATAGTTCACCAGATCGGCCTGACGACTTTCAGGAAGATTACGTTGGAGACATGTATGACCATATGGGATCTGTTAGCTGACTGCGTTGGTTCCATCGACGGAAAGCACATTAATATTACCTGTCCAGCGAATTCAGGGTCGATGTACTATAATTACAAAGGCAATTATAGTATCGTGCTTTTGGCCGTATGTGATGCCAATTATACCTTTACCTGCGTTGACATCGGAGCATATGGAAGTCAAAGCGATGGCGGTGTCTACCACTTTTCAAAACTGGCAGATGCTATTGAAAATGATAGGCTCGGCCTTCCACATGATCAGCCTCTGCCAGGAGAAACCGAGCCATTTCCACATTATTTAGTAGGAGATGCTGCTTTTCCCTTACGGCGTTATTTAATGCGACCATATCCGGGTAGAGGTATTCCAGAAGAGCAAGAGTATTTCAATAAAAGACTCTCTCGTGCAAGAAGAGTTATAGAAAACGCATTTGGAATACTCACTGCCAAATGGAGAATATTGAGAACGACGCTATGCATGGCCCCGAAAAATGCAGAACAAATAGTGATAGCTTGTATTGTCTTGCATAATTTTATTAAGCTTCCGTGTGCAAACTAAGTAGCAAGCGATTTTGTTGATCGCTACGAAGAGGATGCCACCATCGCTGGCTCATGGCGAAACGAAGTAGTTCCATTGCCCTCAATAAGTAGGGTGTCATCGAACCGAGGCAGTTCAAATAATTATGATTTAAGGGATGCTCTGAAGACACATCTTTTTAACAATAAAATTTAAATAATTACTACTCACTGAATATGCTTTGTTTTTATTATTTAAGATAGAAAACAAAAATTTGAACTCACAGTATGAGGGCACTTATTGGTAATGTTTTAAATGTCGTCGCATCTTTCAGGTTTTTAAATTAATTTTTGTTCAAGGTAAGTATGGCGTTAACATAACATATATTTCATTCAGTCTTTTAAGTTAAAACCGTTTTACACAGTATAGTGGTTACAAACAATATACCTTTCAGTCAAACCTTTGAAATCAAACTGGATGTCATTTAAATTTTTAAATTTCGTAAATTCAATTTTTATAATTTATATATTGAGCATAGACGTATTGAAGTACGTCCATTTGAAAATCTAGGCGGCTCTCTTCTGGGACCTTCTCAAACACTTCGCCAATCGCACCCAAGAAATTGTTGTGTGTGTTTTTTTTTTGACTATCCACAAACTGACTTACTTCGTTGACTAGATCGTTAAAGGCGGCGTTCTCATCGTTTTTTTTCTTTTGTCTCTTAGCCGGCGTTGGGGCAGTGGTTTCTTGCTCTTCTATTATAATGTTCCCACTCTCGCCTATTTGGAATCCAAAGGAAGTATCCAGTATATCTGGTTCTTGTCCGAGAACTTCTGGCGTTTGGGAGACGATGTTTGTTGTTGTTCTTAAAATATGTACATATAAATTACAATTTAAAATATAAATACTTGTTGTACAAATGTAAAGTACACTTACTGTCTGGGCGTGACCGTGTCTTTCAAAAACAACATAGCATCGAAATAAGGCCAAGTTCGTCTCTGAAGTATAAGAAAAAAAATAATGTTGTTAGCAACAAATAATTGTTTAATATAAACTCTTTTACCTCCAGTTGAAAATTACGCCTTATCAACACGGGTGGAAGTGGCACAGCCAAATGCAACTTTATGAATACCAACGAATCTGGTGGCCGGAACGATAAAAAGCAAGGTATCTGAAAAAATAATTTTGTTAGCAACAAATAATTGTTTAATATAAACTCTTTTACCTCCAGTTGAATATTACGCCTTATAAACACGGGTGGAAGTGGCACAGGCAAATGCAACTTTATGAAAACCAACGAATCTGGTGGCCGGAACGATAAAAAGCAAGGTATCTGAAAAAATAATGTTGTTAGCAACAAATAATTGTTTAATATAAATTATTTTACCTAAAATTGATGAAGAACGCGATAAAAACTGCACACAAGCAAAATCGACGCGAAAAATTGAAATGTCAAGAGTTGTCAAAAGCCTACAGCGCGCTGTCAAATAGAGATTTCGGCTAATCGATACTTTAAAGCGCTTCAAGCAAGTGAAGTAAAGCTGCCACTAGGCCAACTTTCATACATTTTAGTAGATTTTAAAAATTGTTTGACAGTTCTCAAAGCCAAGCAAGCAAAGCAAGCGTGCATTGGGCCAATACCTTAAGCGTTAGTATCCGTAAGCGGGATTGAAATTCCAAACCAATTTCGCTCCATATTATCAGCATCGTTTTTCTACTGGGTCAAAGTTTCCCCTATTTGATTAAAAATGCTATTTTAAAACATGTCAATTTATATACAGTCAGCACCTTGCAAATTCCGGCTTCCGACAATCGTCATCAAATCAGCAAACAAAAATTGGCTGAAGAACCAGCTCGTGGGGTGGCATTCCAAGTCTGACCAAAGATTAAAAATAAAAATTCCAACATACAGTGCCCCCCAGTGGGCAAAAATGAAAAAATCCGCTGTGGTGTATTGGTTAGCAGTGCGCGCTATTATTCCGCAGAGCCTGGGTTTTCTAATAGCGGCCGCCTCTCGTCAGGCAATGGAAAACATCCGAATGTAATTTTGCCATAAAAAACAGCTTCTCATATTCCTTTGACTTGTTAAATAATTTTAGATAAACTTTGTAAAAAGGTGGCAACTATCTTAAATATTCTAAATGTTCAAAATAAAGATTTCTTACTATTCCTCAGTTTGGCGCCCAATATTTTTACACTTCATATAATTTACGTGTATTTTAATTGCATTCGAATTTGCAATCAAGTGGCAACTCTGTTCAAAGTATTTTAAACCTAGAACCTTGTTAAACCTTTTTCGTCTGATAGCTATATGTTTATATGATACATAAATATTGAAATTATCCAATTTGCTTAGTTCAAGCTGGATTTAGTTTCGAAAACAGCTGGCAACCACCTTACATGTAATTTAAAAAAAAAGTTTTTCAATGCCATTTTGATTTATATCTGTACTGTATTGATTATTTTTACCTATTGCATTTACCGAATTTGACATTGTAAACAGGTGGCAACCTTGTTGAAAATTTTTGCAAATTCGCCACCTTTTTCGTCGTTATAAATATTGCAATTTTCTATTGCGAAAGGTGGTATCTTAGAGGTGGGCCCATACTAATTTGGTTTTACATATATGGAAATTTAAGTCGGTTCTGTCATTTGCCTAAAAATTACTTGTTAATTTTTTGAAAATCGAGCAAACTAAATGCACATAAATTTCGAATTTCAAACTGCATTTGAATTGAAAATATAAAAGTTATCGGAAAACAAATTGCATTTTTAAATTCAGCATCCACAAATTCAGTACAATTTGATTTTCATATAAATCCGTCCCTAATTCTCTTTTCGCCCACATTTAGTATGGCACGGATGACAGGAAATTATTGTAAGTGGTTTAAAATAAATGACTTCTTTAAAATAAATGAAAAAAGCATAGCACAAGCGATCATAGTAGCTTTTACAATGCATATATTTATTCTTATTCGGGTAATCAATATTTTTCATGTTCTAGAAATCCCTTAATAAGCAAAAAAAAAAGGTTCTCATTATTTGCTTGACCGCATCGCATTTGGATTGAATTAGAATCCGGCGCACTTATATATATACCACATATGTATGTACATTGTATACATAAATTTAACTGTAATTCGCATCAATAGAACTGAACTACATAAATCTTACCAGTTTAAAACTCATTTACCCATTTGCAATTGCTTATTCGATATGGTCATGTCTTCAGAAGTATGTATGTATGTATGTATAAGTAGTACAATTGTAGAAAGTGTGCAAAATTAGCTGAAGCGAAATTCTCAATAAGCATTCTTGTATATTTTCACAACTCGATTAAATTCTAGCAAGTAAATGAAGCTTTTATATTTTTGCTCTACATTTCACGCTAATCAAATTTGTCAACGACTTCGCTAGAACTCAATATACATAGATACATGTGTGTGTGTGTGTGTTTGTGTGTGCAGTTAATTAGTTTATTAAACGCGGTACTAACTGATGGTCATGTACCAGTGCATACCCTCATACATACATACAAACATACTTAAACACATATATATGTACTTACATTCATACAAATGAGCACATGAACTTTTAAATTAATTAATTGTTGAACTGGTAAGTTTTTACTTTCTAAAGTTGATGATTTATACATATGTAGAAGGGACGGACAGACGAAAACAGAGAGTGAAAGAGAATATTAACAGCTGTGCCAAGCTTACGCACATCAACTGCCTTTGCGCATGCGTAACACGTTCGTGTTATAGGTAAGCGCCCGCGCAAAACAACTTCAAAAGAGGCACGAAAAAAAAAATAAGACTAGCTTTTTTGAGTCATTAACAATCCACCGAAAGTGCAAAGAAGCGGTTAAATTTGGTTGTTAAGCGCAGCAGGCATTTGGATACTTACCGAACCAAACAAAAGCCACAAACCCACAAGTAATAATTAAATGACACATGTGAGGCATATAAACGTATAGAAATTTAAAATAATTGGTAATACATTATCTTCCTTTTCGTTTCTTTTGGATATTATTTACTTATCTACTAGTTAACCCACGTGGCGCTAAAAAGCTTAAAATTAAATTTCAGAAACCTACAAGCCATTCCAAATGTTAGTCAACGGTATAAGCGATCCGAGTGCAATATTTCATCTAAATCGGTGAAGCCGTTTCTGAGTGTTATAGGTCTCGATGTATCGGTTCTAACATAAAAAAATAAAACCTCATCGCACATCCACAGGCTAAGGCCCAAAATAAAGGACCTCTCATATTTTAAATTGGAAAGAACGGCGCCAACCTAATAACATTCACAAAAAATTCCCTCCCATATAATATATACATACAAATACTTAGTTAGATCGGTGTAACTTTTCGATAAGGCGGCAGCCCTAATCAAAAACTCTTTAAACAAACCAAAGATTTCATAAATCTCTTTCGATTGACACTTGTATTTAATATTTCATTCAGCTTGGGTCAAACTAAAATCTTCTTAAATCTCTTTCGTCTAACATTGCAATACATATTTCAATTAACTGATGTTGTAGGTTGAATTTGTATTTTCAAACACGTGGCAACCCTCCATAATAATTGTCAGAAATAAAACCTTAACAAACGCATTTTGATTGATCTCCATATTTAGTAGTTCATCTAACCTACTAAATAATTTGAATGTAACTTTTTAAACACGTGGCAACCCTCTTCAAACATCATAAATATACAAATTAAACATTTCTTAACACTCTTTCGCTTGACATCGGTATTTTCGTATTTCAAATAATTAGTACATAAGTTAATTGAACTCGACGTTTTAAACAGGTGGCAGCCCTATTCAAAACAAGTTTCGAGCTAAATTATTTTTGAATATGTTTCGGGATACACATTTTAATTAACTGATGAATTAAATTTAAATTGATTTTTTAAACACGTGGCAACTCTCCTAAACAGAGTTCAGAAATCAATCATTTTCAAACCCGTTTCGCTTCACGCACAACTTTTAAGAAGTCCTTTAACTTTTTAAATAATTTGAACTTCTTCAAACACCTCAAAAAATTCTATATGTTGAAACTAAAGATTTCTTAACCCCTGTTTGTTAGACACCCTTATTTTAATATCTCATATAACTTGTGTATAAGCTAACTAAACAAACAAAACAGGTGGCAACCCTCTGTAAAATTTTTTCAGCTACTACTTTCTTAAACGTCTTTCGTCTGGCAACCAAAGGTTGATACATATTTCAATTACCTTGGTTCAAATTGAAATTTATTTTTTTACAGGTGGCAACCCGCACACATTTAGTTAAGAAATAAAGCCTTTCTACCCATTTCGATTGATACCCATATATTAACTAATTTAATTAAATTGATTTAAAGGTGGCAACCCTTTTCGAAAAGGCAAAACCTTATTGCTCGTCCACAGACCAAGCCCTGTAATTGTACATCTCTTTTGAGAATCGAACGAACGGTAAAAATCTATTGCCATTGATTATTTAATAATTTGAACAAAATTGTTTAACAGGTGGCCACTGTTTTCGAAAAAGTAACTAGATAATCGCACGCTTTTAATGTCTAGTAAATAAAATCAACGCCACCTCCTTAATGAAAGACGTCACTTTAGGTGGACTGATGACATTTTAGGACGCTTTCAGCAGAGCCGCAAGCAGTTCTGTACTAACTTATATTTTCTTTTCTGCACTATTCCTTAATTTTTCCTCCCTTCATAATTGAATTCACTTTTCCTGTTTTTGTATGAGCGACGAAATCCGGTCTCATTTTAAGGGCTACAGCTACTCATATTATGCCTCAGCTCTACGAAAGCTAAATGCAATTAATTCTAATTACAAATGTAGACGATTTATATATATATTATATATATTAGTAACTAACTATGGAAATCATATGTCGATTAAAGTACGTTAATAGAAATAAATATGCGTTAATTTATACATATAATAGTATATTTATTTTTCTTGACTTATACCGTTAGCCACCCTTCATCGGATGTCAACCTATGTTATTTCTGCTCATACATACATGTGAGGAAGTAGTACACACTAGCCATTCCAAATATAATTTACTTAGCTCTGTTCCATTTAAGTTAATACCAATAACCTTAGTTTGCTTGTCTGCCTTTACGTGCATACATATGTTTATATTTATGTACTATATACATACAGTATCGGTCATATCTATAGCACGCCATTTCAAAGTGATATTGTGTGCAACTTATGTTTATTGCAGTGGCTCTAAAACTGTGTACTCAAAAAAATTCTAACACTTCCGAGAAAAAAGTTGGAAACTTAGGTGAAAATTTGTTGCCATTTTTTTAAGTTTTCTACAAATTTTTAAACTTGGGTTTATATGGGGTTTGTTAGAGAAAGAACTGTATTTTAATTGAAAATTCTTAAAAATAAATAAATAAGCATAATTGACACACAATATCACTTTGAAATGGCGTGCTATAGATATGACCGATACTGTAT